AGCTCCACATTGCTCGCTAGAATGATGACTGGAGGGGGCAGTGGGAAGGTAAGGGCTGCCGTCTGAGCTGTCCAAAGTTCAGTGAACCGAGCTAGACTGGGAGCTAAAAGAGAAACACCAATGAAACCATTATGGTCTTAAACGTAACTATTTGGAAGAAAAAAACCCAGAACATTGAAAGTAATCTGTTATTAAATGTTATTTGGACACACCAAATAGGATCAGTGGTAGAAAATAAAACTTGCAGAGACGGCTGCTTTAAAAACAAAAACAAAAACAAAGACCTTTTATGTCTCCAGATTCTATTTCCAAATGGGAAGGTTGTAAAATCTTCCAAGTTGTTTCATTTTATTACATTCTTACTCTCATGAGTTTCTATTGATGTTAGTGATTCTGTTTGAGAAAATCTTATTTCTAAATTTCAGCATAATTTAATGACCTATTTTAGCCCCAGGTAGCTCACAAATAATTAACTTTTGCACATAATTATCTTGAACTAATTAGACATTATCTTAAGTCCATTTAGTTGCAAAACACACTTTACTACAACCCAAATAAGCAATTAAGATTTGATTTTTGAAAATAAAATATTTTTAGAAATTTATTAAACACCTATTAAATAAGTTAAGCAATTTTATCTTTTCAATGAGTGTTTCCTCTTGACATATTGAGGTATCACATTAAAATACATTATAGCTAAATGTTCTACAATATTACTGCTAAATCAACAGAAAACCAATTGATCTTGAGGAAAGGTTAATTAATTTGGGCTACAGGTCTCCTACTTTGGTCTGCATTGAAAGGAATTTGTATTGATCACAGAAAATTTTTGCAAAGAAACTTAATAAGCATTTTTATGAAATTGAGATCAATTTTTAAAGTGCTAAAACAACAAGATTTTTAAATTTTATCACTCCAGGAATTCTTTTCTGCTATGGCTCATTCGAATCTGTTAGTCTCCTGAGAAACGTAATATTTTTTTACACTTTCAGTGAAATCAGCCGAGTATTCCAGGCTTCAGAAAATGAAAACAGAAGTTAAGAACATTAACAGGATTTTGTTTGTTTAATCCTTCCTCCCTTAATAATGCTCACCAGTTTATTCTGCTATGAAGAGTTCACGAAGGGACAATGGAGATTAAATTTTATCTGTGACGTAAACACTGTAATAGCCATCATGTAGAAAACAGACCGAGCTGCCTTCTACTTGGGAACACTTCTAAGTTGGGTAGTTTCTGGTGAGCTTTCCCCCTAGCTGTGTTTAGTTGTCTTCTCTTTTTATCAATTCAAAAAAAACGTGTCAGGCCCGGAACAAGGTGAAAGTTAACATTTGAAGTTCTCTTCCCCAGGACTATATTCCCTCCCAAAACATTTTTCTTTTTTTTTCTCAAAGTGCTCGGTGGTGGCGTCGTCACTCGATCGGAGAGCCTTGGAAGCGTTGCACTAGACGGTCTGCAGGAAGGATTTTTTCTTCTCACTCCCTCCCTCCCCATCCGGAGACCCCCTCCCCCACCTCGAGGGAAATTCCTCCATCAAGGGAGCCCGGTGGGCCGCGGCTCGGCGGTCAGCATCCCCTTTCCGCCCTCGTCGGCAGGAAGGAGTGTCCGAGGTGAAGAAATACAGAAATTCGGAGACGAAAGCGGGGGTGGGCGGGGATCAGGGAAGGCAGCGCGCTCGAGGAGGGTCGTCGCAGCACTCCCTCGGAACCACAGATGTTTTCCTCCTGGCCCCGGGGCGAGGCGCCCCAGCCCCGGGCGTTCCCGCGTTTGTGTGTCCGGGTTTCCGAGGAAGGGATTACCCAGCGGGAGCAGCCGCGGCAACGCGGGTGTTGGGGCCGCAGGAGCGGTAAAGCGACGCCTGGCCTTCTTTGTTGACTTTTAGGTCTCGGGCTCGACAGATTTATTCGCTAGGAGGGGAAAATGCCCAAACAATAAAGAACTAACTGCACTTGTCACCCCGAGATGCCTGCGGTCCTGCTCTGTCCCTCTTCCCCGGCAACCGCCCTCCGCGGCTCCAATCCGCGCGCCCTTCCCAACGCGCAGGGCGCAGCTCGCCCAGAGGCGGCAGAGCGCGCGCAAGGTGCCCGCAGGTGCTTTACTGCTCAGAGGCGGCAGGAAAGCGCGTGAGAAGCCCACCAAACCAGCTCCCCGCGACCCACCTTGCTAGCTTCTCAGGCAGGTTTCCAAAGTGGCCTCTGCCAGCAGCCTGCGGCGCCTCGCCCCCCGCAAGCCCAGAAAAAGTGTCTGCCAAGTAAGAGAGCGAGAGCTGAGGCCCACTTAAGCCTGGTGGGTGAAGGCAAGACATTGATAGTGCTCGTATGTTAGAGAGGGAAGGGACCATCACCGAAGGGAACGCACGAAAGTTAGACGATTTAGACTCGGTGGGGCTGGTAAAATTCCTCGGCCCAAACTCACGGCCTGAAGTTACATTTGGAATTCAAATTTGCCAACGCGTTTGTTTACCCGCCATATACATATAAATAACTATTGAGATTGAAAGCTTTTTCCTCTATTTGGGACTTTAATGTCCTTCCGAAAGGCCTCCAAATTACATTTTGAAATTATCCAAACCAGCTATTTCCCTCTCCTCCTTTCATTAGCTGAAGTGGGGGGGGGGGAGGATGGGATTTCTGGATTTTTCTCAAGTGCTACATGCCACCCCTTCCCTCATCTGGGGAGGCAATTACGCGATAATTAAGGGACTCACACAGCTCTTTTTATCTTGTCCGCACTGCAGAGTGGGGCGATCAAAGTAAAGGCTGTCCAAGTTCAAGCCCCGGCGAGGATGGAGTTCATACACAAGAGCTCAGGCAGGCTAGCCTCTGCTTGGGCTGGTGTTGTTATTGTTGATGTCAATCCGAACAAGACTTACAAAGAAATAGGTGGACTGGAAAGTGAGCCTACTATCAAAGGAGATTAATGATTTTGTGATCTCAAGCAACTGTAGGGGTGTGAAGTTGCATTTAAAGGCTTCTTAGAAGGCAAACAAATCATCAGCTTTAAGTTCTCAGGAATGGTATTTTTAGAAACAATATTTTTTAAAAGTATCATCACAAAATACAAAATAGCAGCTACCCCGAAATGTCCTGGTGGCACAAAGCTTCCCCTGCAGGAGAGATTTAACTCGACTCCCCCGGCCCCCTCCAAAGCTACCATGATGGTTAAGTTTTGTTTCTCTTTCAATGAAAAAAAAAAAAAAGTTCAGGATTCTCCGTTGTAGACAACTTAATTTTATCAGCCACATCTGATACTTTATTCTCACTAGAATACTTCTCAGATAAAGGAATATTAGACATTGGGGCAGGGGGAAATGTAGTTATATTAATGAATTTGATTTCATTGTGGACAGACTCAAAGGAAACAGAGGAGGCTTAAGCTCATTTAAAAAAATAAACATTATTGGGAATAAATACTCTTAAAAATCTCAATTCTTGGGATATTAAATCAATTTATCTACCCATTTTTATTGAATTTCTTTAACTGGTTTTTACTAGCGTCATGTTCATATAATAAACAAACAAAACAATTTTGTTTTATATCATTTTCCCTTTTTGTTATTTATATTCAGTGCCGGACTTTGGAAAATATCATTTTCAGAATACCCATTTTGGATTTAATTGAGGAAAATAACAGATATACCTTTTTGTTAACATTTGATTTATTTAAAGTCCTTAACTGCAAATGATCAAGAACATATTCCACGGTTTAAAATTTATCATTTTCGTTATTTAAATCAAAATATTTTAATTACAATCACATTGATAAAATTAACATTTTTAATTTGTAATTTTAACCATCATTTAAAGCAATTTCAACTATAAGGAAAAAAAAAGGAATAAACCATGCAATAAATTAACATTGAGAAAGCAAAGAAGAATAATGAAACCCGTCTGGCTATACTAACACCATGTCCAACTGTGAAAAGTGCATTAACACTGAATGAAACAAGCACACGATGGCAATAATTAAAATGGCCACAATCAGTTGGATTTTGGAATTTTGGACCAAATTTTGAAATACCACTCCCTATAACTTATCTCTCCTCCAACATTGTAATATTCCCTTTCTCCTGGAAAAAAATATTTAAATGGTACGGATACATAGAAGCTAATTTTGTACATGGTATGTGACCTCAGAATGACATGACAATGGCACTCTGCAAAGCAAAGAGCAGAGTTATTGAGGATGGCAATTCTTGAGGAATTGATTCTCAGGGCTATATGTGAGTGGAGAAGACAAGGGAGGAGGGTGTCTTTGTAACTTCTTGGTCAGGCAACTCTTGAAAATGTACCATGTATATCACCTAACTATTATTTCTACATGTTATGCAAATATATGGAGGATGTCTACATATTTGAGCATGTGCATAAATAAGTTCGTACATAATATATGTGTATTTCATTTTAAGACAGCTATCTGAATGTATCAGAAATGGAAGCTGAATAATGGCTCTGATGTTTATAATCAATTTATGTTTTGCTGCACAACAGCAGTATTGTCCTTCAAATACTTTTAATAGCCCCTAGTGTCTACTTGTTTCTTCACCCTTTCAGTTCTTATGGTTAAGAGTATTGCCACAGACCTGTAAACTTGTGGAGGATCAGGTGAGGGGGTGGGGGAAAGCACAAACAAATATTTTACAAGTTTGACCATTTCTTTCTTTCTTTCTTTTTAAATAAACCCTGCACAGACTAGAACGGTGTCTGGAGGGGAAAGAGGGAAGAAAGGGAGAGGAATAAGGAAGTAGGAGGATTTTATATATACATTTGTGGATTGTTAAACATTGCAGGAAAAAATCGTGTTGGTTTGGGACTGGTTTTCTTTGTAATAATATACACAAGGCATTTCGAATACAATAACAAAGTAACAGTCCTTTGCACTGGGGAAAAGATTGTGCACACACACAAAAAATGAAATAAAAATAGTTGGGATTTCATTATGCTGTTGTCGGCTTGGTATGTGTGGATTTCTCTCTCTCTCTCTCTGTCTCTCTCTGTCTCTCTCTCTCTCTTGCTACCAGCATGGCCATGCCAGACAAACCCCCAGTCCCAGGGAGCTAGGAAGTGTTTAGGACGGGTCTGGAATACACACCTTGGTAGTAGGCCGGCTCCAGGGCTGAGGGCTCGATGGGGCTCCTGGTGGCCACCGAGGCGCTGCCGAGGGGCAGGCTGGCGGGCAACGCAGCGCCATAGGGCGAGTACTGTAGTGCCTGCTCATATGCCTTGAAGTCCAGCTTGTGCTGCTGCTCCGAGGAGGACATGAGGTTGTTGATGGAGAAGGGGTGGTTGAAAGAGTAATGGGGGTCTCCTTTCAGGTGCAGCTGGGACTCGTGGGGGGCCAGGCCATGCGCCGGGTGGGAGGGGGGCACAGATACCAGTGCCCCGGGCCCGGAGCTGATCGGGGGCGCAGCCGAGGAGGATGGAGTCTTCAACTCCGAGGCGCCCCCTGTCGCCGTCGCCCCGCTGTGGTCCAGAGTCTGGGGGCTGGCAGCCGGCCCAGGGGCCGGCGCGCCCTCTAGCTGGCCTGCCTTACCGTGCACGCCCCGATGAAGGGGCGAGTTGGCAGTGGGGTTGGCGGCACTCGAGGGGTCCTTGCGGCTCTCAGGACCGCCCTTGGCGCCGCCGCCGCCGCCGCCGCCGCCACCCCCGCTCCCGCTTCCGCCCCCGGCCCCCGGCTGCTTCTCACACTTGAAGCGCTTCTGGCGGCGCAAGTAACAACCGTTCTCAAACATGTTGCCGGAGTCCGGGTGCAGCGTCCAGTAGGAGCCCTTGCCCGGCTTGTCCGGGGAGCGCGCCACTTTGACGAAGCAGTCGTTGAAGGAGAGCGAGTGCCGGATGGAGTTCTGCCACCGCTGCTGATTCTGCCGGTAATAAGGGAAGAGGTCCATGATCCACTGGTAGATCTCGCTTAGCGTGAGCATCTTGCTGGGCGCCTGCTGGATGGCCATGGTGATGAGCGAGATGTACGAGTAAGGCGGCTTAGCGTGCGGGTAGCTGCGCTTGAAAGTCTTGGCGTCGCCGCCGCCCCCCGCCCGGTTGCGGCCCAGGTTGGACGGCGCGTACGCCATGGGGCTCATGCACGGGTTCATGGCAGCCGCGTAGGGGCCCAGGCCGTTCATGGAGGCCGCGGGCTGCGCGCCCATGGCGCTCATGCTGCCCGGGCTCAGCGTCGTCCCCATGGCCGTCACGCCCGCCGCCGTCATGCTGTTCATGGCGCCCGCGGAGCCGCCCGGCATGCCAGCCACGGCGCCCGGACTCAGGCCGGCGCCCAGGCCCGGGTTTGCGTAGGACATGTTGAACGAAGCTGGGGTCATGTTGCCGCTCGTGGTCATGGTGTTCATGGTCATGTAGGTGTTCATGGAGTTCATAGAGCCCAGGCCCGAGTTCATGTTGCTGACGGGGACGGAGGAGTAGGCCTGGAGCGGAGACAGCGAGGGAAGAGGCCCCGAAGGGCGGGGTTAGTAGTGGAGCCGGCGGCCTAGCGCCGGGGGCAAACCCGGAGACGTGCAGAGAGCATTTCTGCAAAGCATAGGGCCCCCCACCCGGGGCAAACCGTCAGGCGCCCTCCCCAGAAAGAGCAAAGAAATGTCTTACGCAGCAGGGGAAAAATCTTAGCGCGGCAGGCATGAAAGACCAGCGCTCACAGAAAATATGTCCCCAGGAAGATGTGTAATCGCCTTACATGCCAGGCTCAGGGGCCGACTTCTAGGGCCCCTCCATCGCCTTCTGCATCCACGCCAGTTGGTATCCCAGTCTCCACCCCAGACCGGCCTCAGCAAAGCCCTTTTGGTTAAATGGAGTTAAACTCCGAAAACAGAATTATTTTCTGACTCTGCTTATTCACCCCACCTTACGGGGTGCAGTGGGTTCGGCGGCGTAGCCCCCCCGGGGGTGGACAACAGAACACCAGCTCTGTGCCTATCTCGCCTAAGCCGGCCAGGCTGGGCTGACCACATAGTAGCCTGGGCTGTGTGGGGTGGCTGTTAATTAAACTCTCCTTGATAGAACTAATCATTCATGGCCATATGACCATCCATTTCTCAACAACTGGCTTTACCGCCTTAGCAGTTTTTCCCAAATGGTGACTTTTTGTTATTATGTTTTAGAGGGAGTGTTTTCCATCGACTTGTAGCAACTGTAATACTAAAAGGGAAAGAAACTCAGAAGTTAAGTAAGTTTTGGAAAAAAATTAAAAATAGATACAAGAGGAGAGGGGGCAGGAGGGGAGTGCATAATATCAATGCACTACACTTAACTTTAACTTGACTTTACATGTACCATCTCTTTAAACCATTCAAAAAGTTGCACTAATTTTGTTACCTATTTCCAGCCCCATAACATCTGAAAATTTTGGTGACACAATTTGTCAAAATAATCTATTTTGTTTTCCCATACTGATATGTTGCCATGGATTATTTCAAAGCTTGGCTTTAAAATCCCACTTTAAAATTTCTAAAATCAAAGTCTACTTATTTTCTTTTAACGCTATTCTATTTTGCAATTCTCAGCTTTAATCTATAAGGAAGTTCTTTCTATAGGGAACTTCATTAACTAGTGGGTCGAGATGTCTGCATCTGAATTAAACCCGAGGAAGAGTTCTAAGCTCATTTTAAAATTATCAGTAGGAGAAACCCTTACCAATAGCAATTTGGGAATGCACTATATATGTTAAAAACAGAGTCCAGAAATATAAAAACATCTCTGATAATTTAATAAAAATAATGTCCTTGAATTTTTTTCATCAGCAGATACAATTTCATTTGAAAAAATAAAAGGTGTACAAAGTTAACTAGGCACACTCTGCTATGGTATGCAAATAAACTCAAGCTAAGTTTGTGAATATATAAATATACAAATCTAAATAAATTAATTGCCATCAAAATATTTCCTGATTCTATATTTTTCTGTCCATGTCTTAAATTATTTTTTACTTTCTTTTTTTTGTTTTTTTTTTGTCTTTTCCTCTCCCCATCATTCTCGAAGGCGATTTCAATAACCGTTTTTAATAATGGTGAACTTTTGGGGGGTAATTACCAGCTGTTTCCAGAGAAATACTTTTAGTAGGTGGTGGTCCCGCCTGTACCTGGTTTTCCTCACAATCCCTTTGTGCACATTGTAAAATAAACCACATGAACGTGCTACCAAGGGGACAATGAAGAGAAACAGGTTCTCAGTTCGGGGTGCTGGAGGAAAAGTCAGTTCGCACCAGCGCCACCCAGCGGTTCTAGAGTAGAATGAGCACACTTCTCCCCAAACAGGGCTTTTAAAGAACTTTTATAAAATTTCGGAATCGATTCATTATTAAGACGCAACTTAACTGCAGCGCGCTTTCATCTGAAGACATCTGCGAGTTCAACCGTTGGGAGGGAGAGGCCGCCCTGCTGGAGAATTCTGTCTTTCCTAGAGTTACCTCCAACTCTTGCCGGCGCCCGCCCGCCAACCCGCGGCACCCCGGGCCTGGTTCCGGCTCCCGCTCTCCGCAGAGAAGAGGCGAGCGCTTTCCAGAGCGGGTGCTTTCAAAGCCCAGAGTTTCCTGAAACGCTCTGGCTGCTCCAAGCGCCGAGCGCCGGGACCCAGCCTTCCCCGCGGGGCAGGGGATCAGGCTCCAAGGCCGGGCCAAGGCCTGTCCGGGAACACCTCCGGTGGGCACGCAACGATGGCACGGAGGAGGCGCCCCCAGCCCGCCAGCCACCCACCCTTCCGGGCGCCCGCCTCTCTGGGCCTCCCCCGGCACGGGTTCCGGGAGCGTCCTGCCTGCTGCCCGCCTCTCACCTCCTGTGTGTCCGCGTAGTAGCTGTTCCAGTCGCTGCTCTCATGCCCTTCCATCTTCACAGTCCCTAACATCCTGGAGCCACCCTGCCCGATGCAACCATCCAGCCCTGTGCGAAGCGACGGGCGGCCGCGCAGCGCAGGGCGGGGGGCGGGGAGCCGAGTAGCTGCAGTCACCCGAGTGCCCGCGCCAGCCCAACGCCACCCTAGCGAGGAGGAAGCCAGGCGCTGCGGGGCGCGGCGTGCGCGGCGGAGGCGGCGCGGCGGGCGGGGGCAGGCGGCGGCCGCGGAGCGCGGCGCCCGGGAGCGCCTCCGCGGGAAGTGAGCGGGCGGCCTCTGCGAGACGAGTGCAGTTGAGCTGATGTGGATCTTACGTCGCTCGAGTGCCCACCTCCTCGTCCTCTCCCCATTTGTCCGCTTCACAAAGACGCTCGCACCTACAAAGCCCGAGGTGCACCTGCGAGGCGGCCGCCCGCCAGTCCAGCCGCCGCGCCTCCCGCCCAGCAGCTCTGCAGCCGCGCGCCCCCTGCGCCCCCTCCCGCCGAGCCCCCTCCCTCAAACCCAGCCCTCACTTTGTTTGCAAAGCAGCGTAATTGGTTTAAGCCCGGAGCCTGGGGGAAGAGGGAAATGGGATGGGGGGGGTGTAACCCCCTTTGGAAGAGGAAAAAAAAGAAAAATAGGCGGGGCCGGCAAGCTTACGAGGGTTCTGGATAGGAACCGCGCAGCCGGAGAAGGGCTGGGGGCCGTGGCGTTGGATCCCCGGCTCGCGGGGCCGGGCCAGCTAAATGACCCCAGAGTCCCTCCTCCCCAGGGGGACCCACCGGCTTCTGGGGGCCGCCGGCTGCAGCCCCATCCCGTGTCCCTCCTGCTCTTCTGCCCGCTTCCAGCCCCCACTGTACTGATTACTGACCCAAAGTTCAACCCTGGGAGACTGGAAACTACAGACCATCCCCCTCCCCGGACTTCAGGCTTGAAAAAGGAGAAAGCCCCAATTTTGCCCCTTCACTAGAAACTCGGCCATCTGAGTCAACCTAGCCGAGTGACATTAGGCCTATTTGGGCTCCTGGCTAGCAGAGCGGAGAGGCTGCCACGAAACCCGTACCTGCGGCTAAGAGCAGGTGAGTCACAGCACCGTTTTATATCTTTATGACATAACTTTTTTTCTTTCCCCCGCCTCGGTCCGCTCTACTTCCCTTGTCATATGTAGCGATCATAAAGAGGAAGAGACTGAGAACAGATGTCTGTGTGATAGGGCAGGCGCACCCGAGTCGGGCCGTCCTCCTCTGCCCAGCTCCTCCTCCTGCCCCCCTTCCGCAGCCCCGGGGACTGAGCTGGAGGCGACCGTCTGATTTCTGATAGGGAAAGGTCAGGGGGAGGCGACATCTCCCTAACTGCGCGCGTTAACTGGGAGAGCATGAACACAGGCGCGGGAATGCATCTGCTCGGCTAGAGAGGTGCCAGGTTGAAGCCAGGGATGGTCTGCGGCGATGCCTGGTCCCATCTCCCACCTGGAGGGGCCAGGCTAGCACCCCAGGAGCTTCCTTGGTCCCTAACGGGTCCTGGACATTGGTGGGAAGTTCTCCCCAAAGCAAAGCCTCTTGGCTCCTATGAGGCCCTGGGTAGTGGATTGTCCACAATCACTTTAATTGGAGAAGGACCAACTGAAGTGATTGATAAGCATTGAGTTGGTGATAGGTTGTGGGATGGTGTGAGTTTATTTCTGAGAGTATGAATGTGTGTGAGCTTCTAAATGAGTTGTGGCCATGTCTGTATCTAAGTGTGTTGGTGCCCGACAATGTGTGTGTCCTACCCTAGGTAGAACCCACTAGTTTTCCTGAAGTAACAACAAAATAAAATCTTTCAAAAATGACTAAAAATGCAAAATATTCTTGTTTGGCAAAGTTTTAAGCATGTTATTAATCTCATATTAAGAAATGTGTTTTAACTTGTCTTTCAGATACCCCCCCCCGCCCCGCACTTTGTTCTTTTAAATCTTTCTTCCTTGAAATCTGGCAACAGAATCACGTTAAATCCTTGAACCAAACAAATCTCTTAAATCAGCAGGGGAGCCGGAGAGGGTGAAGATGTGCAGTTAAGGAAATAAAAAAAGATAAAAGCATTGGATTACAATTCCTTTTTTTAACAAAAGGGGGGGAATGTCACATTGTAAGGAATGGAATGAGAGTGAAATTAAATCCACCTGGAACTCAGAGCAGGCGCCCTCCCCAACTACAGCCTGCTCCTGTGACTGCAGGTCCCATCAGTTTGTGTAAATGCATCTGTAAATGTGTGGATTTGCACAGATTTCTCAGAGCCACCGTCAGAAACTCATTCTTTTGTCCAAAGTTCCCATCAGCAGCAGGACCTTGGTTCCATTTGTAAAATACACGGATGCTTAGCTTCCTCGGCCTGATCCGGGGGGACTTTCAGTGCTAATGAGCTTCCTTGTTCCTTCCCGCGGTGATTCTCCAACGCCCTCTTGGCTCTTCAGAAACATCGAGCATGACTAGGGTATTTTCTATGGGTAGTGACAATTTAGTAATAGCTTTTATGGTACACAAAAAGCCGGTGCCTAAAGGGGGGGCGCTGTCATTTTATGGGGGGTCAATTAAAACATCAAATATTCTTTCACTTTTAGCCCACTTCCTAAACCTACTAGAGTTCATCTTAAAAAAAAAAAAAAGTCAACTTAAGGAAAAAAACAAAACAAAACGCCTATAGCGGGATGTCCAAAGTAAAGTTTTTCCAGGCTTCTTCAAAGCCCAAGACTGGTGGTGAAGAGTGGACTCTGCCAACTTTAGAGCCTTGATCCAGCTTGCGAGTTCCTGGGTCGCGGCCCCGCCGGGAATGACTGGGCTCACAGCACCTCCCGTGGTGTGTGTGGGGAGGAAGGGAGGGCGCAGAACCCTCCCGCACGCGGCCCCAGCGAACGCCGTCAGGGGAGGCTGGAACTCCGCACACCTCCCTAGCCTGAGATTTTAGTTCAGGGAGCTGACTGCCTGAGGCCAGGAAGGAGAGGGGGCAGCTCGGTTAGCTCCCGGCCTCCCTTCATCTCAGTGGCGAGTTTCCAAGACACCTAACACATTTAGGAAGTGAAGTTCTAGGGTAGTCAGAGGCCAGCCAGTCATTTCTCAGAGTTTTAAAAGCGAATCACCAGGGTCGTGCCGGGTCTTTGATTTGGAAAATAAACAAACAAGCAAATAAATGAAACAAAGCTGCTGCCTCCGGGCCGCTGGCCAGTAGGTAGCCAGGTGACGTGCCTGGTTGCTGCAGTCTACTCGTTGGTTAGAAACCTCTTCTCCCAAATAGGCCCTGTCTACGTTCTTCAGAAGGCTGTGCTCTGCCTTCGCGGGGAACTGGACCTGTTCAGTCCTCAGGGAGGCTTAGGGGCCACTAGGGCAGCCACGTGGCGTCTCCTGGGGCGTCCTGGGCCAAACTCTCCTGGCTAGGATGGGTCTACGCGAGCCCAGGGTGGCCGCGGTTGAGGGGAGGCAGGCTCCTCCGGCAGACGAAGCCGGAGCGGTCGGAAGGTGGTGCGTGGGTCGTCCAGGTGGCCTTGGGCGGAGGAAGCGGCTCCGCCCTTCCCGGAAGCTGCGCCTCCTCCCCTTTGGGGTCCGCTCCTGGCGCAGTCTGGCTGTGGCGGCGGGCGCTACCAGATTCGCCGGCCGAAGAAGGCCACCTCCTCTTCCCTTTCCCAGTATTACCTGGCTGGGACCCCTTCCGCAGATCTTCACCGGGGCAAGGGAGAAGCAGAGGGTGACGTCGGCGAGAAACAGCTCGCTCCTCAGGCGTTGGGCCCAGCCCGCTGTCTGTGGCGGCGCCGGGGTCTTTCCCGTTTAGCCGGACTGTGCGGTGGGCAGAGAGCAGAACCCGGGGCGGCGGGCCTCTGGGGTGCCCTCTGGAGCCTCCCGAGGACTTCCCTCTGTGGTTCTCCCTAGCCTGTCCCCTATCTCCGCCGACCTCCCTCCTTCCAGGGGGCTGTGGCCCTGTCTCGACTGTGGCGGGCCCAGCCACCCTCGGTGCAGGGTGGTCCGAGCGCCTCCTCTTCTGGTCCCCACCTGCCACCCAGATAAGAAGCTAAGAAGCTAACACAACTAAGACCCGTTGTCTTTCACGTGGTTCAAAGCGGACCTGGACCGGGACCCGGGTCGGTTAAGGACTGAGGAAGGCCTGGGACGCTGAAAGCAACTGTTTGCACTTGCGCATGACTGGCCTCCGCTGACCGAGGTGTGTGTCCGAGCCGGGCAGGGGGCCCAGGCGCCGCGAGAGGGCGGACCCCAGCGCCTGCCTTCAGCCTCCCACCGGCCACGCGGGAGGCGCGGCAGCCTGAGACTTGGGGGCCAGGAGAGGAGAAACGCCGAGCTCCTGTTCCGTCACGGGCTCTCTTCTTTTCCTTTACTTTATTGTTGTTGTTGTTTTCTCATACCTTCCTTTCTCTGCCCTTCCATCAGTATGTTATTAATCAGAAATCAATTCACAACTCACAAGGCGTCCGACCCTCAGTAGGCAGGGGCCCTGGCCCTGAGACCACCTAACTGGCCTCGTCCAGCAGTTTCGTGCGGAGAAATCTCAGGATCCCGGCCGCAGCCGGATGTCGGAAAAATTCTAATGAAATATTTTAATCCCAATTTTTTATCCCTGGGTTTGTCCTTCCCCTCACTGCCCCTGGAGCCGCCGCAGGGTTTCTGAGCGGCCTGGGGCGCGGGCCTAGCTGGCCCACAGCCGGATGTCGGAGCCGGAGCTGCTCGGTACCCAGCCTTGCCCGCGGGCGACAAAACCGTCTCTCTGGCCCTGAGCTAGCATTGCCCTGCCAAAATCAACTCGCATTTTCATGTATTCAAATGAGAAAGATTGGGAAGGGCGACCCGCCCTCTTGGACAATCACTAGCCTTGGAGGGAATAAGTGTCCCATTGGTACCCGCAGAGAACAGGAAACCTCCCTTCCTCGAGGCCTGGGTCGCAGATGTGGCGCCCCCGCCCAGGCCTGGGTTCCCCAGACGGCGAATCTCTAGGCAGCCGTGTTGTCCGAGTTACCGACTGCTTTATTCACAGCGGTCACTGCCAGCCCGAGGAAGTGCCTAGTCCCAGCTAGTCTCTCC